TCCAAGCTCCAGTGACCTTGAATCTCTGCAACATCCTTTTCAAAAAATGCAATTTCTCTCTATTCATGCTCAACTAGCTGTAGAAATAACTCTCTGGCTTTTAACTTAGGCCAGATAATTTTTGCCTCTTAGTCATAGAATCATAGAACATCCTGAGTCAGAAGGGGCCCACAAGGATCTTCGAATCCAACTCCTAAACATCTCTCCTCTGGTTTCATTTCTGCCTCATATCAAACAGAAGCTTCATGTCTTTACCTGCATGACCTGTAATGACCTATTCCCACCCTTCTTTGTCTAGTATTCTCTAGTGACATACCAACTCATCCTTCCCATCTGAAGCTGTCTATGTTCAACCTTCAAGCACTTACATTCTCTTTTGTGTTGTCTTTGTCCTTTCTTCAGAAGCATTCCATTAAACTTCCTTTAAACTCCCTCCGGGTCCTCTTTCAAATTCTTCCTTAACCTTTTCCTTTGCTGTGCTGTCTACAGACTCCTTGTCAACAGTAAAACATTGAGAGTGCTGAGACCACAGCTCCCCTTGCTGACTGGTTTTGTCTGATTGTTTCCTTCTATTTCCTATCACTTCCTGGTTGTTACTGCTTGTATTAGGTTGTAAACTCCTGCAGCTGGGCCCTTCTTTGAATTCTGTGTTTTCCCAATACCCAGCAGAATGGATCTATTCTATAATCTGAGTAGCCAGGATTTGTGGTGGTATAGCCAAAACCATGTGAGAGTAATGAGATAACAAGAAATTAGAACATGGCATCGTGTGCAAATATGAGCTCCTCTTCTCCCTTCCCCCCCTTCCTTCAAATTCACAATATTTCAAAATTTTTACACAGCAGAAGACATTAAATGAGGAGGTTTCAGAACAGAGTATAGCAGCTGATGTATCCTTTCAGCTGCTGAAGTGTTTCTGTGTAATGCACTCACTAACTGTGGCATTTTCAGCAGGGAAGCCTCTGCAGGCACTTCTGTACATGCCCCCAAGGTAAGACCACCATGTGGCAGCCAGGCTGGGCTGAAGGAAGGTCACAGCACGGCCAAGGTTATGAACCTCTTTCATGCAAAAATAGAGGACTCCGGTCTCCCAGGCTTGCTGCCAACATATCGCCTTCTAGTTTTGCTGAAATGATCTTGAAAAAGGATCTAAAAAGGGCTGAAGGGGCAAAAGAAGAATGTTGAAATGACATAGTTTCTCATCTTCATGCAGTTTAGTGCTAATTTTGTCCTTTGTCTTTAAGCTGCCTTTTAAATGCTGCTTGTGGAAAGCAAATGGGTCACGTTGTTCCGTGTTTCTACTGTAATACGCTGCCTGCTATTTTTCTCTTAGATTATTTGTGTAATCTTTTTTGTGCAATCTGTTTGTTCTTGAGTCTTGCAAACTTTGCCTTTTGCTACTTCTTTCCCAATAAGCAGTGCAACTTGTTCTGTGTTCACTCATGGGTATTCTGCACACAACGAACTGGGTTATTTGAGACAGTGTGAAAATATTAAAATGGGGAACATGTGTGGGCACTTAATTGTGGTGAGCCCAACCACAAATACCTTCGCTGTTGGTAACTGGCACAGAGGAAGAGCAGACCTTTGTTTTGTTTTTATCAGACGTAATGATAGATACATTGTTTTTAGTGGGGTTTTTCTGGTTTTCTAAGGAAATGAGGCTTGTGCAATCACACTGCCTGTGTGCATGTGCCTGTCTGCTTGTCAGTTCCTCCTCCACCAACACTTGAAACTAATAGCCATTTTCAACTACATTTGAGTGAGTTGCAGGAGTTGGGAGAAGAGACAGGTTTTTGCAGAAGCCTTGTGAATTCCCCAAGATCGCAACAAGGTCTGCAGAAGGTGCAGTCTCCAGTGATCACATTGCTGCAAACCAGATCAGTTGTGTATTTGCCCATGTGCCTTTAAGTGGATCCAGCCACCCAACTGTTGGCTCCCAAATTTGAATATTTTGGCTTATTTGTTTTTACCTTTTGGGTGAGTGAGTCAGTTGCGAGAGTTGCTAGGCACAGAGCTTGTGTTTTGATTCTCACTGGAGTGGCCATGTCTCATGAAAAACACGGTTTGTTCAAGGCCACAGTGTTATAATTTGCATATAAACTTATAAAAAAGGAAGCTTTCTTTAAGCTTTCCTGTGTGAGAGTTTATAGGAGTATTTCTGTCTGTGTACTTAATAGCAGAAACTGGACTTCTCATAAATGTAGACAGGTTGAGTCTGTTGCTGCCTCAGTGGCAATCTTCTGTGGAAAAACCCCGAAAGAGAAAGGAAAGCCTCAGGAAACAAACTTAAAGGGAAGAAGTTGACCAAGATTCATGTTGTGCTACTCCTTGGTTTGTATCTGACCACCAGCAGTGTAGTTGGGGAATACCTCAGAGCCATGGGGGAATGTAGCCTCAGGGCACCTTTGGGAGGCAGAGATGATGTCTTTATGCCCTTTGCTCAAAGAGAGGGCAGAGGTACAAAGGCACTGAGTGACTTGTCAGAGATTACAGGAGTACGTAGGAAAGAGACCCAGGTCTCCTGGTGCAGGTGCAGCCATAAGTATGGTCTCCATGTAGACAGCTTCTTCAACAAATGGAGAGATACCTTGGTCAAAGAGGAAGATAAATGCTGAAGCACACAAGAGCTGGTTAAATTATGAATGTGAGAAGAGAAGGAGGGGTAGAAAAGATTCCCACATGTTCTGCTCAGATGTTAACAAAGAAAGCTGAGAAGTGTTTGCATAGACACTACATTATTCCATGTCCAAATGCCTCATAAAAATAATACCGGATGATCACAGAATGGCACACTAGGGAAAATAAATTCTTCAGCGGAATATTCCCTCTGGAAAAACACTGTGTAAAGTAATACACTAATGGCTTTCAATTTCATGTTTTATATATAGAGATATTAACTGCTCCCCAGACGTCTCTTCGTATTACAGCCCAGCTACACGAGATGTTTGGAGAAGGCCCTGGAGCAGCTCTGTGCTGTCCACACCAGGGCTCAGCAGGGCTCTCCTGTGCTACACAGGAGGTGTCTTCTGCCTTCTTCTCAGCGCAGTGCTCACTCCTGTGGTTCTCTCCAGTGAGTTTGGGGTTTTGTTTTTTTTCTTGCCCTGATTGTTTTTTTCCATTCTTCCCCTGTGCTCTGTAGCCTCACTACCATGCTGGGAAACCTGAATTCCTTTTCTGCTTATAAAAAAGGAGTCCTCTCTAGAAGTGTTACAGTGGAGTGATTAAAGCACAACAGTGACAATCAAAACCCTAAGAACAAATGCTAAGGAAAGTTAAGTTTAAATACATCATTATTAATTCCATTTGGGGGATTTCCAGACTTGTCTGGATTCATCTGGTGAGTTCTCCTTCCACATTGCTCAGGCTGGGAGCTGTTTGAGTCAGGAACTGTCTGTCCTGTATAAAGCCAACTACAGTTATACCATTGTAGCAAATCGTAATGATCTGGGTTCTTTTCCAAGCTTTCCTAATATATCTCAAATGTGTATATATATCATCCTGCCACATCCTGAGGGATCCAAAAGTAGCTTCCATGCTTTGTTCCCTGAATGTAGCTTGCTGGAGTGTGGGACAGGCAGGAAAGAAGTCATGAGTGTGGGGACATTGTCAGTTCACAGTGAAGGGCACCAGCCCTACTCTTGAGATGACAAGACAGGTCTAACTTGTAGAAGATGTGCAGTATTTGCATGAAAAGGCCAATAAACAGGTATGAGGGAGCATTATATCACTACTGGATTATGTAATTATTATCAGGTACATATTATTTCTATATGCCTTCATGAATAATTCTGTATTGAACTCAGTCTGCTTTCCTGCTTGTACCTCAGCTCTTGCTTCCCTTCCCATGCTCACTGACCACACCACTGCACCCATGAAGCCTTCAAGAAGTGCAGGGTCCCAAGGCTGGGGTCACCACAGTTATTCTTAAACTGGAGGGTACCATTTTGAGTGGGGCAATGTCCCAGATCATAGTTGCTCTGTTACCTTTTATGGGATTTTCCTGTGTAGTGTGGCTGACCTTGTCCTTAATGCCTTCCATTTGCAACATCAACTGTTATGTAGGGACATCAGAACTTGAGGGGCTATCTCCATTTTCTAGAACCCAAATGGCTGAGAAAAATGGTAAAGGTGTGCCTTCTACCCACCTCTTCCATCACCTCTGCACCACAGTCTTCCCTAGGGAAATGTTTTTCCCATGAGCTAAGGAAATCTTGTCTTCACTTTAAAACTGTCTGCCACATAGCATCTTTAGCAACAATCTGAACAAGGCAGCAAGCCTTTTGTACGTGCATGTCTACAGACTTTTTGTTATGCATTTGTGTCTGACATTAAGGACCTTTTTCAGAAACAGACAGAGCTCTTAAGGCTTGTCTGTACTTAGAGTCTTTACCAGCAGTTTCTGATACACCTTTCTTGAAGGATGGTAAGAATAAAATATCCACACATCAGTTTCTTTAGGAATAGTTTCTGTGCTTTAAATAGACAGAATATCCTAATCTGTATTAATCTTTGAACAGGAAAAAAAAAAAGTAATTGGCTCCATTGAGAGAATTGGTTTAAGCTATACAAGCAAAAACTTTTTAAATTGTGCTGCCATCAGGCAGCTTTATGAGGCCTCCTCTGACAAAATCCTTTCATGTGGAAGCAAGGCTTAAGGCACAGGTTTATCCCATCTAACTGAGGAGCTGGGTTAGATGATAGCTGAGTGGTTTGTATCTGGAGCTCAAGATCCCTACAATGATTGCTGGCTTGCAGCAGCACAACTGACATGAGTGCTGTCTTGGGAGCCAGTGACAATCCTTTCTAGATCTTTTCATATGGACTGGCACCAGAGTGCCTTCCAGGGGCACTGGATCTTTGCCAGCAGTAGCACAAGTTGTTTTTCTGTGGACTGAGCTGCCACATCCCCCTCAAGAGCCACGGGTGAGTGGAGGGCCCTCCTGTGCAGCTGGGACAAGGGCCTTGCTTTGACTGCTGTCCTTTCCCTCTGGTGGCAGGACGCTGTGCCCGCTGCGGGGAGAATGTTGTCGGAGAGGGCACCGGTTGCACAGCCATGGACCAAGTCTTCCACGCGGATTGTTTCACCTGCATAAAGTGCAGCGGCAAGCTGAGGGGACAGCCTTTCTATGCTGTGGAGAAGAAAGCCTACTGTGAACCCTGCTACATTGTGAGTACCCGTTCCTCTTTGTGCCCTGTTTTTAATGCACAGACATGGGAAACATTTATTTCTTTCATTGCTGTGGAATTGCCTTACAGTTAAAATCTCACAACCCTGTGCAGTACCATGAGCAACAGGTTTTTTTATGGTCTTCAGAACTCTGGTCTTTTCAGCTTACTGGGTGAATTACATTTCCTGGTCTGACTTCCCTCTGAAATAAAGTGGACACAGCAGGAGAAAGAGCTGGGTTTTGTGATTGTTTCATCTCTGTAAGGAGCAGACTATGCAGTCATTTTTTAGCAGTAGTGTGGTTCTCAGCTTTCTGTGTTGAGAAATCTGATACCAAAATGGTTACACACTGTGTGCCCAATAAGATTAAGGAGGTGGGATGCAAGAAAGCACTAAAATTTCTAAAATCAAGACTTTTGCCTTGCTTGATGGAAGACTTACTACTGAGCTAAGGGTCTTTGGATTAAATGTCTTTTGAAGCTTACATTACCCTAAAATTTCATTTCATGCCTCCAGCAAGGTCTTAAAGCAAACAATTAACAGTTGCTCTGAGGAGCTACACATTTTAAGAGGCTCCCGTAACAAGTAGCTGGAACCAGTTGCACAGGTGCAAATTAAAGAAACATCCCATAATGTACCTGAGGCTTTACCTTGGTCTGACCTTAGCAACCAGTATATAAGGATTATCCTTGTAACTTAGAGTAGGAAAAGCGCTGGAACACTCTTAAAACACTGACAGAACTTTCTTTAAACTTCCAGTTTTGAGTTTTTACAAACACTGGATAATTGGATTTACACTTCTAAAAGTAAAAATTGATGTTTTTCATGACATTTCTGTCGTTCCAGTGATAATTAGAGCAATAATACTAAAATATTTCTGAAAATGGCATCAATATTTTGTTGTTCTCTCTATTTCTACAGAGCCTTCACAGTGAGATTGTTACAAAAATACTGAGTATAAAAAGGGAGGATTGTGTCTTACTTACATTGGCAGTGATAGATGGGCCTTGTTAAATTGATTTTAAAAGCTAAATGGTCTTTTGGTGGAATATGTACCTTTTAAATAATTTCTGTTTTTGTTTGCACTAAAATGATGGCACCATAAAAAATTTAAGTTTCATTTTGTGGCAAGTTTAACCACGTGCAAAGCACTGAAGACTTTAGAAAGGTGCATTCATAATATAATTGGAGCAACTTTATGTAACTAGAATTAAACATTTCATTGACTTCAGGCTGGAATTGACTTCATCTGCTTGCAGATTGATACTTTCTTTTCTTCTTTTTTAAATCAAGCACGCATTCTACACCACTCATCTGCTTTAGTTTGGGAAAACATCTGCATTAGCCACTAGTAATGGTTTAAGATTATTTAATCCCATTACTTATACACTTCATTAGCCTGAGTGAATTGTTGGCAAGGGTTCAGTAAACTTCCTACATTGGGAGATAAAAGGATAAAAAAGGAAAGGGAGAAGGATTCTGTTCCTCATTTTCTTTCAAATTTATCTTCTATCTATTTAAGGGATAAAGGAACGATAATTGCCTGGTTGCATCTGCGTTTGTATGTTCTGTGATAGGGCTTTGCAGCTCTGAGTATAGAAGAAAGAGTAAACGTTTAATAGCTTCCTTTTATATAACCAGAAGGGGCCTTTAAATGTTTATCCATGCAGTCCACAAAAACATGGTTGTGGAGTTAACCCAAAACACGTCTGGATCCATCTGCTGCTGCACATGCAGGGGAAAGGATTGAAGTGCTGATGGGGCTACATATATGTAGCTGGACAGCTGGTACTGTGAGTGAAAAATGGGAAGCAGGAAGCTGGCAGTCTGATGCAGTAAGGAAAAAAAAAAAAAAAAAAACAAAAACCCAAGCACAAATTAAACTCTTAAATGTGGAAGAAACAAGTGTTGGGAGCCTATGTCTCAGTGTCTTTCAGAAATCTCAGGACTCTGCTGTGTTGAAAGCCAGATCTACAAGGGATCTAGGCTTCTGCCATCCTCTGGCTTTAGGCCTGAGGAATTTGTGTCCTAGAGCATATGTCTCATTGATTTTTCAGTGGAATGAAGCCTGCATTGGCTTCAGCAGGATAATGAATGCTTAAGTACACTGAGGCTTTGAGCTAGGCTTGCAAGTTATTCTTGCAGATGAATGAGACCCTTAAATTGATGAGGCGCAGTCTGACTGCTTTTGTCTTTAGATGCCTTTAGATGTGTGATGCAGTTATCCTGAACTCTGAGTCTTAATGACCTGCTTAAAATCTAGCCTGTCTAGCCACATTCTGCTGAATTGTAGCTTCTGATTATTTTTGTTTTGGCTTGGGGTTTTTTCCCCTTTCTTTTTTGTTGGTTGGTTGATTGGTTTTAGGGGTTTTTTTGGTGTTTGGTTTTTGAAGGTGGGTGGGGAATTTTTTGTTTCCCAAAGTCCCTCTATCAGAAAATAGCTTGGATACTAGGAATCCTAGATCTGTAGAAACTCAGTGGGACTGAAGTACCTTGACTCAAATTCCTCTGGAGCTGAATTCCCATGGAAGGTGCAGCGGATGTTACTGGCCCAAAACTGCACAGCTAATTCATGGCAGTGGCCAGCTGAGAAAACAGGGTTCTCAGCTGGTGTAAGTGTGAGTAATTCAGTGAAACTTGTTTCTGGTCTACCTAATTCACACTGATTTCTAGCACACATCCCTATTTTCCCAAGTCGAAAACTCTTGACCTCTTACGCAAGTCATAGAGGCTTAATTGATATAAAGAAAATAAACAAATACTTGCCTAGTAACACTGGCCTAGTTGTGATATATAAATTCTTGAAACCTTAGATTATTTTTTAATAATTCACTGGTGTGACTTGTGGCCTTATGCACACAAAAACTATGCACAAAAATAAAAATAAATGTTTTTAAACAATTAGAATTGGCTAATCTTCTCAATTTGTTGTGTGACTCTTCTTAGCTGTGGTGTAGTGAAGCCATAATTAAGACTTCTGTGAAGAGCTGTATTTAATTACTGGTTAGTCAGTACCAAGCCTAAATAGCCTGCAGAAGGGGTTTTCTTTGTTGTTTTTGTTTCTGGTTTTATTTATCAGTGATCCAATTAAGATGAAATTCCCCAAAAGTCTGAATTAACATCTAAGGAAATCAATCACCTGTTTGAAAAGAAATATTTTTCTTAATGGGAATTTGAGTACCACAGTTAATTTCTTTCACACAAAAATCCTCCCACCCAAAAGCCCATCACTATCATTTCCTGTTACATCTTCTGAGTGCAGCGAGTTCTGTTGCCAATGTGTTTGCTGGTTTTGCTCTGCATCCAAGGATTCTTTCATTATTGATGTTATTTCTAAAAGAGTACCAGCCTTCTCCATTAAGACTCTTCTGCTGAACTAAAAGCAACTGTAAAAACTAAAGTGTTAATAGGAAACAGATGTTTCCCAGTCATGATGACAGTCAAGTTAACATTTGAAATACCATGATAGAGTTTCCAGTGTAACCAGTGCACTGCTGTGCACGTGATGAATGCCGTGTCTGCAGTATGTTATCAGTATATTTCCCCCCTCCCTTACAGGGCAAATTACTGACAAAAGAACATTTGGTTTGCTTCCTCTAAGTAGTTGAAGAGATTTTAACACTGGACTGAGAGCAGGGAAAAGGCGAAGCGTAATATCAGTGGAACTGTTGTTATAAAAGACTGAAGAGCAAGATGTTGAGCAGTGCCAGCTGTCTGCTGTCCAAATACCGTGTTATCGTAAGGACTGAGCACAAGGTTAACCAGACACACCAGTCTGGCAAGAGTGATGCTGCTGTTTTGTGAATGGGGTGTTCTTTGATGTCCAGATAACTTTCTCCAGGATGTGGAAATTTTCTTCCATTCTTACTCCCCTCTCCTGACAGTCTGGTGGCTGGCAGCTTGAGATGTGCACTCTGAGGTGAGGGCTGGGAGGGGCTCCTGCACTTAATGCAGAAAGCAGCAAGATCTTGCTGATGCTCCTGGCCTCTCAGGGTTTCTTCTGTTGTGTCCCAGTCAATGTGACCCACCTGAGGAGAGGACCATGGTGGAACTGGGAAGGGGAAATAGCAGAAATAGCCAGAGTCAGATGAAAGACTTCAGAGAAGTGGTGGGCTAGAAATGGTGAAGGATTGGTTGAAGGAGGAGAAGAAAGAAACTCTCATTTCTGTCAAGCTAGATCAGGGCAGATGGTGGGTATGCTCTGTAGAGCCCTGTGGAGACCCAGGGATTGAGGTTTCCTATTTCTGCTGAGAACTGTGAGGTATTGAGAACAGTATCTTAAACCCATCCCCAAAGATCACTTATAAGGATTTTTTGCAGGTGAAATACTATCTTTCCATAGTACTGAAGCTGTGGAAGTGCTTGAAGGAAGAAGAATTATGCATGGGACTCTTGTCCTGGTTATTTCTGTTCCCCAGCTTTGAACTTGGGATCATAGTGCTCCATGTTTGTTTTTTTTTCTTCCCCTGCCCCCTCACCCCCCAATTACTTGTTTTGTGAGCAGAAAAAGTATATCTTAGAGGGTTTTTTTTCTCTTAAAATCTTCTAACTTCCTGGCCTATCAGTGGCTGCAGTTCAGTAGAAGATAGTTCAAAACAGAACACAAGAGAAATGCTTTAAAGAAATGGTACAATGAGAGCCGCTGATGCCATGGAGCATCCTGGGAAAGCTTAAATTTGCTAATCATTCTAAAATGTCAGTGTTAACTCAATTTGTGCTCACTGAAATCTCTGGTGAGACTGCTATTGGCTTCAATGTGACTGATATTGAAAACCTCGCCCTGTGTGCACGTGAGTGTGGCTGGTTGAAAGCTGTGCAAGAGCGGCTTCCTGCAGCACATCGGGTTTGAAGTGTAAGGTTATTCCCTGCAGTAAAACTACATCTATTTTTAAAAATAATTCTGCAATTTGTAAGCAGGGATTACAGCACTAATTTAGCAACTATGTAACAATTTAAATTGGACCAGAAAAGAGAAACTATAATTTAAAGATTTTTTTTTA